ATCAAAAATACGTGTACAACTAAGAAGGACAAAGAAGCCTTATCTTAGTGACTTGATTAAAGGAGGACAGGAAGGTATCAAAATCTTAAATTGAAGCTTGTTTGGCACCCTGAAGTGCCTGGGGGAACCTGCCATCATAGGAAGACCCTGAATGGGTGAGATGTAGGTTTTTCTGTAGATTGGGAGGAGGGCGACCATTTTGGGAGAAAGTGCATGTAGAAGCTGAGGATATAAAAATAGATTCTCTTACAAGTATTTGCGTCCGAATACCCCTTGGAAGATCTTTGCATACTCCCAGGGTACGCTACTGCAGTTTGAAGACTACTCCCCAACTCGTCAGCTATCGTTAAACATTGCTGTCAGGGGCAGCATCAATCATGTTGTTGTAAAACTTAAAAAAAGTGCTGCTAACATGTTTCAATTCCCTTTGTTTTTTAGTGAAATGTGTCATAGATACAGAAAAGTACATAAAACATATACATACAGTTTAAAGAAAAGGACAATTCCTCATGGTTTTAATTAGGATTTCCCTGGTTACTAATGAAGCTGAATATATTCTCACATGTTTCTCCTTCAATTGAAATGCTTGCTCATGTCTTTTACTCTTTTTCTTTCCTTTTTTGGAAATCCGGGTTTTTTTTTTCTAATTGCTTTGTTGGCCATAAGATTTGGATACAAATTGATTTGGATACAAATTGCTAGTCATTTATATCTTCGGCTACAAATATACTCTATGTGGTTTTTCCTTTCACTCTTTTTATGTTGCCTTTTGATTCACAGAAGTTCTTAATTTTAATGTGGTCACAACAGTCATTTCTTTTATGATCTATGTTTTCAGCGCCTTTTTCCCTCCCCAGAAATCCTCCAAAGTCCCAAGGTCATGAAAATATTAAACCATATTTGTTTTAAAGTTTTATGATTTTGCCATTCACATTTAGGCTTTCATCCATTTTTTGCATCTGAGATAGGGTTCAATTTCATCTTGTTTATACCATCTGTTGAAAAGTCCATCCTTACTCCCCCGATAGGTGGTGCCAGTTGTATCAGATAGCAAGTTTCCACATATACATATTTCTGTTTTTGGGTTCTCTACTTGATTACGTTGACCTATTTCTATATTCCTGTGCAAGGACTCCACTATCTTAATTTCCACAGCCTTAATAAGGTCTGATATATGCTAGGAAAACTTCCCCCACCTTGTTCTTCAGAAGTGTCTTGGCCATTCCGGGGTGTCTTCTCTATAAACGACTTGTGTTTTTGTTGCTGTTACTGTTAAGATTTTTTCCTATGTACTTTGTATTTGTTGTTACTTTTGTATTGATATACTTTGAATTACATTTTTTCACTGCTTGTTGCTGGTGTTAGAAATAAAATGGAGTTTCATTTACTGGGGTTTTTTTTGGGCACCTGAGCTAACATCTGTTGCCAGTCTTTCTTTTTTTCTTCTTCTTCTTCTCCCCAAAGCTCCCCAGTACATAGCTGTATATTCTGGTTGTTGCTCCTTCTGATTGTGCTATGTGGGACGCCGCCTCAGCAGGGCTTGATGAGCAGTGCTAGGTCCATGCCCAGGATCCAAACCTGTGAAATCCTGGGCCACCGAAGTGGAGCATGCAATCTTAACCACTCAGCCACGGGACTAGCCCCAACATTTACTGTTTTTTATCAAACAAACTTGTGAAACTCTTTATTTTTCATAATTTAACTATGAATTCCTAGAGCTTTTTATATCAACAATAACATTATTTATAAATAATGATAGTTATACTGTTCTGGCTAGGACCACCTGCACAGTGTCTAACAGAAGTTGTGGAATGGGACATCCTTTGCTTGTTCCTGGTCTTAAAGGAGGACTTTCAAAATACTAAGGTGATATTTGCCATAGGTTTTTATCACATGACCTTTATCAGATTAAGGAAATTCCCTTCTGTTCTTAGTTCAATAAAAAGATTTATAATGATGATAATGATATCATGGGAGTAAATGCTTCTTATTCATTGATCGAGAGGACTGTATTAAATTTATTTCTCCTTAATCTGTCACTATGGTGAATTTCTTTGATTAATTTTCTAATATTAAACCAATTCTGAATTCCTAGAATAAATTCAATTTGTTCATGATGAACTATCCTTTTTCTACCTTCCTGGATATATTTTGCTAATGTTTTGTGTATAGTATTTTTGTATCCATGTTAGTATATGAGAAGTCCCTTAATTTCCCTTATTAATAATTTCCATGTTTGGTTTCATCTTAAAGATTATGCTAACACATGATAAGTTGAACATGTTCCCTCTTTTTCTAGTTTCTGGAAAAGTTTTTGTAAAACTCAAATGATTTGCTCCTAGAACATTTGGTAGAAAGTATCTATAAAATTATTTGGGCTTTGTGGCCCTTCCTGCAGAAAATTTTAATTGAGCAAAAATTGTTGATGAAATATTTTATTATTTTTTAAAAATTTAGTTATGATACTATTCATGTTATTTCTTCTTAGTTCTGGAAAACTTTATTTTTCTATTGATTTAGTTATTTCTCCTAATTTTCAAATGTATAATTGCAAAATTATTCACAATACCCTTGTATGTGGTTAAATTCTCAACAGTTATAATTATATCCTCTTTTTCATTCATAATATTGTTCATTTGCACCTTCTCTCCTTTTTTCTTCATCAATCATGTTGAACACTGGTCTTTCTATTCTTCTTTTTAAACAATCAACTTTACTTTGTTGGCCCTGTCTATTGCATGCTTGTTTTCTATTCATTAATTTATAGTCTTTTCTCTATTTTTTCCTTTATTTTGCTTTTTTCTTAGGTTTACTGTGCCATCCTTTTAATTTCTTTTGTTGGGTGACTAGCTCATTAATTTTTATTCCTCTTTTCTAATATAAGCATTTAAGCCTTTAAGTTTCCCCATAAATACTCCTTTTGCTGTATCACACACATTTTAATATATAATATTTTCACTATCATTCAGTTCTGTATATTTTATAATTTCTATTATAATTTACTTTCTGACCCATGAGTTGTTTAGAAGTTTACTTTGAAATTTCCAAAAGTCTATATCTTACCTGGCTCTCTTTTTGAATCTCAGAGCTAGTTATAATCATATCACTAAATTCTGGCCCATGGAAAGGAAGAGAAATGGTATGTGCAACTTCTGGTTTCCACTCAAGGGAAGTTACATGCCCTCCTTTTCGTTCTTTTACCTAGTTAGAATGCAAATATAAGGGCTGGAAGTGGAACAGGCATCTTGGGCCAGGAGAGGGAAGCAATATATTGAGGATGGTGAAACAAAAAGACAAAAGCAGCTTGAGTTTCTGACACCATACCTGCCATGGACACCATCTATTTGAACTGTCAGACAAGAGAGAAATTAATTTCTATCGTACTTAACTCACTATTATTTTTTGGTTTCTCTGCTAACTGAAGTCATGCCTAACTTTAACTAATACAAAAGCGTAAGTATCCAAATTATCATGGTATTAATGGAAATGAAAATAAAGACAGATTTGAAAAGTGCTATGAACTGAACTAAACTTGTGTCTCCAAGATGAACTGCCCTATATTCCCCTTCACTTCCTAAAATGACTCTTCCTTTACCATCTATGTCCCCTCTTCTCCCTTGACTTCCCACTCACAAGTTCACTAGTTCTCTTCTCTAAATCTGGCATCCACTTTAACCCTGCCTTTTTGGCACTAGAATACCCCAACCCTTAATTTTCCAAGCATATTCCTAAAGTTGGATTACTTCCAATGTGCACTTTTCCTATTCTTACTTGCAGTCTCTCACCACTCCACTCTATCCTAAACACTATTCCTAGAGTTGTATTCCTATTCACCACATTACCATGACACAACCCCTGACTAAAAACCATGAATGGCTCCCTATTGGCTAAACAGCTGTGCTACCACTTTTTACCCACCAACCTTCAATGCACATGATGGCGAATGCCAAGAGATCATAGCACTCTTTCCAAAACAGCAGTCAGCATCCTTCCCAACAGAATGTTTCAGTAGCTAGTACCAACCAGGAGGAACTGGAACTCAGGAAGAAACCCATTTGTCTCCCTGATATAAAAGATCAAGTCTAAATTCCTTGGTTTGTATTTCAAAACTCCAAAATGTCTCCTATTACTCTCTCAAAGGGTTATCTCCAATGAAACTACAAGAAAAAAATGTGAAAGACTTTGAAATAAAACAAAAACTCACGGGATGTCTTCAATGAAAAACGTTTTTGCCTAGTACATCCTTCTGGGTTTTCTGATTCTGTAGGATCTCCATATCTGTCATTGTCTTTGAGCTATCTATAATTCCTCCATGAGATATAGATAACTGATAGCAATGCAAACGATTCTTGTTCATAGACATGCAAATAAATTTCATCTGGGGAGGTTCAATTGATTTTCTCCCTCCATTTTGGAAGAAGCCAGTTTTGCATCTATTTTAAATTTATTTCAGCACTCTTTAGTGCCTACATATGTGTGTTTCTTTGACTGTTCTTTTAAGTCAGAGATAACATCTTGTTCATTTTCCCATTAGTAAGTTAAATCAACTCATTTGTCATGAGATCATTTTATATTTGTATGTTAGGCATGATTCGATGATTTGTTTTTTTTTTTTAAATATCTTTTTAACAAACTCTTCATGACTACCTTCAAAGCTTGATTACATCCCCAATATAGAGTGCCTTTTCTGGATCTTTCTACCTGACAATACTGACTCTTCACATTTCAGAGATAAATCTAATTTCCTCCATCATGTCTTCAAACTGGAAAATCCATGACTTTTCATGATGAACTTAGACTGCAATGATGTCAATGTATTATACAATTATTTTTTCTTCACAACTCCTACAAAATGCATTATCTGTGTCATTTATGTGCTGTAGATAGTGTATTTTTATCTTGCACGATTAATTTATTTATTTAAGTAACTTCTCTCCTCAATTAAAGTGCAAGTTCCTGAGAGAACTGATCACAATCTATTTTCCTTTTCTTCTCTTCAGAGTCAACGCAGTGCCTTACACAGTGCCCAGGAAATATCCATTGCTGAGTCCCATTCATGGCCCATGAATCGGAGCTTTCAACAAAGATTTTTTTTTCAGGTCATCACTTAGCTTTATTTGGAGAATCCATCTGTTATATTTTGGCTGAAGGTGGTTCCTTCCTAGGAAAATTCACACTAAACTTTAATGAAGATCATTAGAGCTTCTGTGAAACACCAAATAAAAGGTAGTGCCGATCAGAAAGGCTAGGAAAAAAAGAATAAATTCATGTGCTTCTGGAGGATTTTTTCCCTCATCTATTGGACTGGTACTGTGTATACCCATATTCCTAAGATCAGCCTTATGTGAGGGTCATGTACGTTCAGTTCAAAATTCATTCTTTCATTCTACAAATGTTTATTGATTGTCTACTATATATCAGGAATTTTGGACAGGCCCTGGGTGTGCATTTGCAAGTAAAATGTAATTTTTAATCCAAGAAACTTACTTGCTAGTAAAGAGGGAGAGGGGAAGTTGAGGAAGAGGGGGAGAAATAACCACCTGATCGTGATTTAAGCATACAGATAATCGATGACAAGCCAATTCAAGTTTCTTAATAGGATGAAAAGAACATCTTATTTTCAGGTATTATAACTACTGAACCTTTAAAATCAACCTATTGTAAATAGTCTGAATTGAAGGATGAAGTTTCAAACCTCTGCAGATTTGCATTACCATCATATACACCCTACATTCAATGCCTTATGCGATCTTAATACCAACCCAACCAACCAAGTGTTAGTAGACCACCAACACTTTTCTGTGGTTTAAGTGCTGAGTTCTGGGAGAATAATAAATGAGCTTGAGATTACTTTCAGCATATTTGGTTTTATGAACTATAAAATATTTTACCAGTTGTATAGTCTACCAAGTATATTAAATCTGCTCCTTATAATGCCATATGAAGTCAAAGGACTTCATAATATTTGAGTATTAACATTATTACTGAGCATTTTCCTTTTTATGGTTTTACTTAATGATAATTATTTCAAATTAAAACCATCTTGAGAAAACTGCCATTGTAAAAAACCTAGTCCATTTAATCAATTTTATTTTTCTCATGATGACTTTTAATTTTTACCTTTATTCCTAAAGGAACCCTTAGAATAAGGCATTTAAGATTCTACTCTATAGTACTTTGTTAGTAAAGCGATTATATGAATAAAAAAGACTAATAAAAGTTATAGGCTTTTTGTTGTTGATATAATTTTCAGCTTCTCATGAGATATTGGTATAATTAAAATGATTAAATAAAAAATAATAACCAATCACATAATGATAATGATAACCTAACATTTGTTTGGTCCTAAATATTTTCACATATATTTTCTCTCTCAATTTTCGCAACAATCTGATAAGTTTAACTATAATCATTTTTACAGACGAAGGAATCAAAAAACAAGTGATTTGCTAAATGTTGTATAAATGGCATTTTGTATGCTGAACCCAAGTCTTCAAACTCAAAATTTCTGGTTTTGTTCATACTTTTAAAAAGAGCATTTAACTCACAAGCCAAATCCCGCTGGCAAGACACTTCCTAAGGGTGAGTAAAATATATATGGAGGAACACTAAACATTTTATTCACTTACAACGTCATTATACCGAAACTGAGAAGGTCAGTGTACTTTCCAAACGGCCCAGTTAAATCTAAGGAATTGATTATTTACCCATGAGGGTCTGGACACTGTCAATCAAAATCACTTGCTTACATAGGCCTAAAATATGCTCCATTAGCATCTTTCCATTCCTCATACTCACAAAATAAATATTTTATTTTTTATTACCCTTATCGTTTAAAAGTTTCATTTTTTTCTGCTCATTAAAAGAATAAAAAGAGAAAATAAAAATCACTACTAGTCCCATGCCACTCCTAATAGTTTGTGTGTTTTCATAAAGTCTTTTTAACACAAAATGTGCATATTCAATATTTGCATCATACTCTCCTTCTATCTTTATATACCACTTTTCCCTCCCATATTACAGAAGGCAATATTTACTTTTTGAAAATATGACTTTTTATGGCTGAATAATGTTTCATCATAAGGTGGTACCGTAATTTATTTCACCATTCTTCCAATTCATACAGTTTTTATTATAAAAACGTTTATTTATAAAAGTAAAATAACCTTGCTTTATATGACTTGAAAAACAGAGAAAGGAGTGAGATCACAGCCCTAATTCTGGTCTAACAAGTCACTATTATGAATTTTGCTCACTTCTTTTTATTATTTTTTCATAGGCCTATCATTATATGTTATCATTAAAGTACACATGATTTTACATCCTGAATTTGTTTCCATTTAACATTTTATTATAAGCCTTTTCCATAACCATTGTGGCACGTTGGCTGGAAATTCCACACTTTATCTAACCATTATTTTATTGCCAAACAATAAGCTGTCTCTCTTTTTTCTATTTAAAAATAAACCATTTTCCAATAAATATTGCAAGCATATAGTCTTTACATTCATGCACTTAAAAAAATTCTTTCCTAATACTAGATTCCTGCAAGTAAGATTATTAAGAAAAAGGCCGACCAGCTTTTAGTATTATTTGGATTTTGGTGGAAAACAGCGCCAAAAAAAAAAGTTAAGTGACCGAACTTCAAAGTATACACAGCATCCTGATCTGTTTCTTATCAGCCAGTTCTTTTACTGATTGAGAAATACAGAAACAAACATACGGGATATCGATTACATTTAAACTAATTACGTTTTCCATAAATTAGTATACTCTGGCATCATCAATTTTGGGAGGGCAGTGACCACTTAAATATGCACATTTTCATTTTTTCTAAAATTTTTTTCCCTTTTAAAAGTCTGTATCTACATACCTTTCAGGTACAGTTTAGCTTATTTTGCCCTTTGCATCTTAGATGTAGTTTTAGAAATGTTTTCCGGAATTTCTTCCTTGGGGGTGCTCTGAAATCCACATCAGACACAGCAGTAATTCTGATAGAAGGAGAAAGAAAATGCCCCAACTTACCGTTTCTAATGCATTTACACGGTCCTGCAAATAAAGCATAATATATAATTATAAAAACAAAGCTATTAAAAATCATTTCAAGTTTACTTAATTTTCAGATTTTCTATTTATCTTCTATTAGTAATAATTTATCTTAAAAATGTAAAAAATTAAAACTCCTACTCAGGATGATCTCTCCAATAGAAAAATAGACATAGAAGAATCACTATACCTTTTCTCATCTCAGCTAGCGTTAGGACTATACAGCTTAATTTAACAGTAAATACCATAATTTTAGATATAGTAACCAAAAGGAATAGTAAATAATGGAGTATAAATATTAGATATATTTGAATATATGAAACACAACTAGGCAATAATAGTGATGTAAAAAAGGAATTTAGCACATATACCAGCTCTCAATTATATATACAGTACAAAATGTAATCTCACAGGAAGGTAAAATTCAGACATAAGAACATTTCATCAATTAAAGTTAATAAGTAGGTTGTTAACTGAAACAAGGCAGGAAAAATAAATGGGAAAGATACATCACATGCAGCCAATCCTGAACCCAGATGGGACTCCATTACCTGTAGTATCTTAGAAGGTTTTAGAGAAATATTGTCTTTAAAAAGAATCATTGACAACATTGCTTGAAAAGCTAAATGATTAAGAAAATGGTTGCCTTTTGAATCCAATAGTTGTATTCTCAACGCTTTTCAGGGCTGAGAGCTACGTACAGAAAGTTTTTACCAAATACAAAAGGCTGAATTGGAGAGCAGAGTCTGAAGATTTAAGAAAGTGGAAAGCCATTCTTTTCAGGAGGGTCAAGGCCATTTTTCTTTCTTTTCTCTCATTTTAAGCAGCTGTAGGGAAGGTGTGAAATTTGGATTTCTTTTTTCTTTAATCAAATTAATCATCTCTTCTAAGAGGGAAAGGGGAGCGGGGGGGGAGGCACAGAAAACCACTCAACTCAGGTCTCTTGTGGCCCTGCAGGGAATCCTGACACTTAGGAGCAGAAAGAACTTGGCCCTCACCTCCATTCTCCCCGCCTCCCCTAGCACATAGAGGCCTAGCCTTTGACGACTTCTGCAACGCAAGCTCCACCCTCACCCTGGGAAACTGGGTTGAATATTTCTACCCTTTAAACATTTGGCTATGTGGGTGTGAGTTAAATGAATTTATTATGCAACAGCAGCCCAAAGCAGACTGTTTTTTAGCAATATAATCTGTTTAACTGCATTTTTTTGTTATCCTTGAGAGAACCTTACCCTTGCCCCCATAATTTTCATAAAATAACTGCTATTTTGTTGGTGACTTGTGTACTGTCACATTTCAGCACTTCATAATAAATGCATATAATGCCTCAAGGGGGCTTCGATCTCTTGTTACCAGGCATCTTATTCACAGGGCATCAGGGACAAAACCATTCAGCAATGCTTTATCATTCTTTGTAGACTGAATGAAACCTTATTAGATGCCTTACAGAGACAGAAACAGTCTTTGGGCCATATCACAATTCTGTAAACCATCTTGGAAGGCTCAAAATATTTACAGTTACTATTTGGGCCTTAAGTTTTCTCCATACCGCGTATTTATGGGCTCATATTATTTAGGATTAGCATATTTTAAAAGCACACAAACAGCTGCTTTGAAATCAGTGATTGCAAGTGATGTCAAAAGAGTAGAATTGAATTAAATTCTGTCTGTCTTAATTCACATCTCAGTGTTTGGCAAAGATAAACTGATATGACTTATGTATTAGTGTCTTCTTTTTACTTAAATATTTGTTACAGGATTTTAAAAGAAATATATACTGTCATGGACTGCATGTTTGTATCCTCACAAAACTCGTGTGTTGAAACCCTAATCCTCAATGTGATGGCATCTGGAGACGTGGCCTTTGGGGGTAGTTAGGTCATGAAGATACAGCCCTTATGATGGGATTAGTGCCCTTATAAGAAGAGAGACAAGAATGGTTGCTTCTCTTTCTGCTGTCTGCCATGTAACGACATAATGAGAAAATGGTCATCTACAGGCCAGGAAGAGGGCCCTCACCAAGAACCAAATCTGCCAGCACCTTTGTTCTTGGACTTTCCAGCCTCCAGAACTGTGAGAAATAAAGGTTTATTTAAGCCACCCAATCTATGGTAACTTTTTACGACAGTCTGAGCTGACTAAAACAGGTGCCTGGTTTATAAGATTATGAACACAAATGGTCAAAAAAACTCCATTTTGGTAAAATATAAAGATCAATTAATAATCTATTTCAATGCAATTTAATTATGTCTGTTTGTCTATAACCTACTTCATTCCAAAACGGTATTGAGACAGCTTTCAGAGAAAAATACATATGATTAGAAAACGAGAAAATTAAAGAAATAGAAAATTCAGTTCATTAACCTAAATTTAAATTAGTCAATTTGCCAATCAACGACAGCTAATAGGATACCAGCCATTGCTGCCGATTAGTGAGTTCTGTGTAAATTGTAGAGTTTTTGGTCTTAATTGCAGGCTATAAATAAAAAGAAACTACTCCTAGTCTTTATGAACTTATTAACTTGCTTTTAAAATTTAAGAAAAGTATTTTGAAAGTTTAAATGGTTGTCGTTGATTTCTTCTTTGGTAGGCAAGATTAGTTATTGTAATTCTGTATAGAAAAGCATTAGACTACAGCAAATTCTTATTCTCAAAAAAAATTTGCATACTTCCTTTCATGGTATTTTTATTACAAAAGAGGTAACCTTAAGCCAATATTGTGGCACTAATACAGCATGAAAAAAATGCCAGCATATGTCCTAGAATGAACATATAATTACACCAAAATATATTCTCTTTAACCTCAAGCTAATATTGATTTGCTACTTGGTCACAATGGGGTGTACACTGGAATTTATGAATAAGCCAAGGCGAATTCGTTAGCATCATTGGAGACGGGCAAATATTTGTAGGCTAAGTTAGGAGATGAATGCTAAATGGACTGTTGGTATCTGAATCCCTCATCATTAACAGTTTATTTGATTTAGCTCAGCCAATCACCAATCAATTAGCCACACTGATTCATCTATCCCATTTAAGAGATGAATTAGAGGATTGAAGGGCTAAATAATCAGAGTTCTCCTGTTTCTGTTAAGTGTAGTCAGATAGGCCTAGTGACTATTTTATCACAATGATACAGCATTTTCCAACAATGCTTTAAATATACCTATTAGCAAAACAAAAAGCACAATATGGACATACAAATAGAACAAGAGTCTCTATGCCTTCCAAGTCTAAGAAGCTTTAAGAGTATACAATGATTCTGGAAACTTCTCTGGGACTGAAGGGCAAATGATAGACATGTAATTTTCAAAAAGAAAAATCCACAATGAGGTCTCCCTCTCATCACTGTTCTAAAAGCACAAAACCTCTCTTCTGGAAGAAAAATCCACTCAGCTCCACCCAGAGAGACCACTGCAGAGCACTTTTCCTGTCAATGTTAACTCTGTTTAGTCAATAGTCACAATTTACCTGCTACTTTCCATGTGAAGTATATAAAATACAGTCCAAATATGTACCATTTTTCCTCTATGCATTTCCACATGGCAATCCACTACATTTAACAAATTGCTGATCATTTTTTAATAATTAAAAGAACTAGAAATAATTTCAAATGTGTTCTTTTCCAAGCTTCAAGATATTAAAATGAAAGAAAAGGAAAAGGCCTTTACTAACCTTCTCAAAAAGAGACCAGCATTTCCTAGAGTGATATAAATAATTTAAAACAAAATAGATAAAAATTACAAACAACCTCAATGTTGCAACACCAAAAAAAACTTTAAAATATAGCATAAGTTGGCTCTGAATATACCAAATGAATCAATGATCCATACATAAAATGGCATGTGATCTATTAAAAGTCAGACAAAGCTACTCTACTTAAGAAAAACCTTAGCACGAGGGGCATTAGAGCAGCTTGCAGGGGGGTTTCCCAATCACCCAGTGTCAGATTTAGCCATCATTAGATCCCTGTAGTCAATCTCTGTTAACTCATTTAGCTAGTTGCTTCTGTGCCTTTTTCAAATAATCTGCCTCAGGGTCCAAATAACAAAACAGAAATGTTGAAAAGAAAACCACAGCAAGCCATCCAGATTTTGTGTAAAAATTTGTCAATAAAAGCCGCTCAACATTTGACTTATCAAGAAAAGCCAGTTTAAAGCGATGTATCCTTTTCAACCCGAGAAGGAGTACCGGTTACGTTCCTTCTATCTGCTTTTCACTGGGGTGTGGCAAAATCCCTGATACATTCAGAAGCAGAAACTATCACAAGGTTTAAGAACAGAGTTGAAGTGTGTGCTCCACATTTCCGATTTGTTCTCTCATCTACTACCACTATCATAATGGAGACCTGAGGCAGCCAGCTGTTCTGTAGCTTTCTCCTGCTGTATTCTCAGGTTGGTGTTTGGTTTGTGGTTTTGTTTGTTATGATGCCATTACTGACCATTGTGCTCCAGTTAAGTTCACTGGTCAGGAAGGGCTGAGGATGCACTTACAGTGAAGTGAGATGCGTACAGGGTTTTGTTGGGGTGGGGAATATCAGTGGGGTGGAGGAGAAAGATGAAGAGCCAAAAAAAGAAATGGGCCTCTGTTGGTTTGTTTCAACATATTTCACGTTGGAAAATGCAGCCTGAGAGGCTAGGCAAGGGTTTTGCTTAAAGTCCCTATAAACATTTCCGGTCAACAGTGTGAAACTAATACCAAAAAAAATATCTCAGAAACCCTTTATATTTCAGATCACAAAGCAAAGCAATGAGGTTTCGTTTTATTTCCTTTAAGATTCTTCTTTAATGTACAACATAATGTGGTTCTTACGTGTGTGCCTACAGGATAAGACTACAAACCAAATGAAGGACAAAAGACAGAATTATCTTTCCCTGGGAATTGCTCAATTCCACAGTGAAACTGCTGGTAACAGGTAACAAGAGTTCAGTGAATGACATCGGGATTGGGGAACAACTAAAAATTATTTGCAGGTAATATAAAGGCTATGATGGCGGTTAGGGCCAACGCAGATGACAACCAATGTAATTTCAAAGATTGACTGTCCGCCCAAAGACACGCAGGAACAGGAGCTGAGTAGCAGGGGGAGAAAGTCAACAATCCAGAAACCAACACACCATATTTTTTTTTCAAGGATTTACATTTTAAGAAACAAAGTACATGTCTCCAGTTGTGAGGTTAGTCATATATCAGCTGAATATGCTCTGAACTCTTATGCAAATCATAGTGCAGTGGTGATTATGGCATAATTTATGAGTAGCTTTGTGTCATGCAGAACTTGTGGAAAACAATAGGGTATGCTTTTTTTTCAGAGTGTGTATCTGACTGCCACCAAACACAGCTGATCTAATGAGACTCCCTGAGGCTGGCATCTCCTCTGTTTCCCTCAAGGGCACACATCTCCTGGGCTTCCAGGTGAAGAATGCTCACAAGAACACGCACATAACCATAGAATCCTTTGACCCAAGCTCCTTCCTCCCGAATATCTGAATCACAGCACTTGATGGTTGACTATCATGCATGTCACACAGCTGAGTCATTAAATGGTACAGGCAAACAGTCCACTTTGGGAATTAAACTGCTTACCTTTGAGCAATTCCAATAATCCCCATCCTAATTTACATGCAGAGTCATTTACTCAATTCTTTTCAGGAATTAAAGCACAAAGAACATTATATTAGAGATTCTCTCTCTCTCACCCTCATTCCCACATTCCTTCTGGGGGTTTCTGCCTACAGTTTCCTCTCACCTTTACATAGTAAAGAGAGAGCCTGCTGATAAAGATAAGTCATAAGCAGATGATTTTAAAATAATATATTTGGCTGACATGAGTTAGGTTTTTCTTGCTTCCTAATTCAGTTTGACTAAGATTAAAACTATTATTGATCTCCACTTCCTAATATATAAGCACAGGTAGGAAGAGAAATGTGGTTAAAGGATTTAAAACCAACCTTAGATTATCTGTTCTCTGATAATCAATGGCACGCTATTCTTAGTATCTAAGAAAACCCAGGGAAAAACCCAACAACTTGGTTTTTAGTTGCACTTCTGGGAAGCATACCTGAGGGTTGATTATTCTCTATATCCTAAAACAAAGCAGATGTATTTTGACTATTCAGTTTCAAATATCCTATATATTCCTACCTATGAAATACTTAACTGCTTTTTCTTCAAATTGAGCTTCATTCTGATTTTTCCTTGCAGTCTGACTAACATCTTCCCAAGATGGAATTTTAAACAGTAGCCTTGGCTGTTTAAGAGAGATGTGAATAAAGAAAAAGTTGGAGGCTCTATTGTCTTAAAATAATCGAAAGCACTATAAATAGTAACAGTTATAAAAACAACATTAATAGGACTAAAATAGCTTCAAGTTTTTAATTTCTGCAGTTATAGAAAATGATATCATATTATACTTTTAAAATGTTCCCCCAAATAATTCCACGCCCAACTTAGTCCAGATTTTAGGGAAACCTTTACTTGAAATTTAAAACATTTACTCTTCAGGATTATAAATACAGAGTAGTGATTTAGTTCAAAGTAGATTCAATTGTCTTGCTTTCAAAATCAGTCCTGGAAGTAACTGATCCTAAATTCCAAAGTCCATGAAATGAAGGAATAAATAAGATGGGAGCTTGTTAAGAGACACATCTGGGTGGTCTGAGCTGGAAATGAAAGTTACTTTTACACTCACAACCTTACCTGTGGATAAGGAAGTACTGATATTAAAAGTTCAGGAAAGTCTGATTACTCAAAATTATACTCTCCCTCCATTTGCAAAATTATTTAAAATTCTATCAACAAAAATTTATTCTTTGAGGAAGAACTCAAAAATTGATTCTTTGACTCCCCTACTCCAGTTCCTCTTTTAAAGGGCAAACATTCTTAAGACGGATAACCATTAGACTAGTTCATTCCAAGGCAGGGGGCAGCAAAGTAGGACGGTGGGTCAAAAGCGGCCCCCTGCCTGTTTTTATAGGTCCACGATTTAAGAATGGTTTTTACAATTTTATTTGGCTGAAAAAAATCAAAGTAAGAAAATTTCATGACAAGTGAAAATTACATGAAATTCAACTTTCAGTTTCCCTAAATAAAGCTTTATTGGAACATAGCCTACTCATTTCTTTACATATTGTTTATGGCTGCTTTCTTCTATCCTGGCAGAGTTGAGTTGTTGTGAGAGAGCATACGGCCTGTAAAATTGAAAATATTTAGAATCTGGCCCTTTACAGGAAGTTTGGCAACCCTTTGTTCTAAGATGTTGGTATCCTACAAGAATTACTTCCTGCCTCACAGAGGTCACCCTGTAGCAGACCCTGTAAGATTCTAGAAGGTAAGGATAAGGTAAAACCCACTGACCAGGGAGAAGAAAAGATAACAGGAACTAGAAAGTTTTTACTCAACTTATAAACTTTAAAACAAAATTTAAAAGTTGCAGTATATGCATAAATACATATATCACAATATAAGCCATTCCTTAGGCCATATAAGTTTCTTCCTTTTGTCCTTTCTGCCTTTTATCCACCATTTTTCCTTTCCTTTCAATGTCTTTCCTTCTTTCCTACCTTTCTTTCTACCTCTCCCTCTCCCACTCATTTATTCATTTAATTAACTCATCCATTCATCCGTTCATTCACACTGACTGAGGCAGACACTATGTTGGACATTGGGTACATAGTTATCAACAAGGAAGATAAGTTCTCTTTGCCTTTACAGAGCTTACATTCTAAAGAAGATGACAAAGACATCAATAAAGAAGATACCCAGGAACTGTGATGGGGGGTGAGGGCAGAGGTTTACTTTAGACAGGTTGGTCAAGTTAAGTTCCCACAAAGGGGTGACGTTTGAGCTGACAGTGAAAGGATGAAAATGAGCCATTATACAAAGAGCTAAGAGAAAAGCACTACGGAGAGAGGGAATAGAAAATGCAAAGGTCCTAGGACAAGGAAAGGTTGCTTAATTTCAGAAACAAAAGGGACACTGGTGTTTGTGTTGTGGCTGTTAATGAAAACATTCCTTTAAATTACCAGTATCATAAAAATCAACACTATTTATTAAAAGCTTATTATTTGCCAAAAATTGCATTGGGTGCTTTTCACATATGGTCTCATTTAACGCTCACAAAAACTCTCTATAGGTGAATATTATTAACTTCATTCATTTAAAGTCGGAGAAACAGACTCAAAGACATTAACTGTACTGAACTCCACACTGTGATTAAATGTTGAGGCTTAGACTAGCAGCCAGGTCCGCTCAACTCGAAGGGGTCTACACTTACTCTCAAAAACAAATTAAAGGTCATATTAAAAAAATATATATATATCTATTTAACAGTTCTATAAAACAGAGCTAATGGAAATACCATATGCTGACAGTGCAGTTTTATGAGCAAATAGACAATAAACACTTTTTTATTACCATCAGGGATATTTTTTGTATGTGTGGTAGAGGTTAGGGGATACACTGGAAAACTGTTCTGGAGCCTTTTTCACAAAATTACACACGCCAGAACAGCATTCCAGAACTTTATTTTTAACAGATGTCAGGTGACAGTGTAACAAAACGCATACTCTATCACAATAAAATTTAATGCTCAAATAAAAACCATTATTTGTACACATTTTTATATTTATTTACTATATAATAAAAGGGATTATAGTTTTGCCATATGCCTTTCTTAAGTAAGTTGCATGTCCCTCTGACATCTTGGCCCGACATTAGGTCAGCTGAAGCCCACACAGTCAATGACACAGGGGAAATATCAGAAGAAAGGATAAAGGAAAACACAGATCTAAGCTTAAGTAGCTGTGCTGTGTGCAGTTAAATGGCACCTCTACTGTGCTGGTCTCCCAATTCTTTTAGATCTGCACTGCAAGAGCTTAGATGCATCACTGAGCTCATAAATGGCCTCCTCCTCCCACCCCTGCTTCATTTGTGACAAATTTATTAGTTCTTTCCTAGCAGTGAAATGAGAACTAGGGATTTCAATTACAAGAACATAGTAAACGCATGGAGTCTCTCCTAGGTAATATTTTTCTATTTCACGTTATGAGCAAATATAGAAATATTGTTAACAGACATTAAATGTTATTTATTAGCATGCTAATCAGGCTTCCCACTTTTAAAAGTAAACAGTAAACTTCTAACAAATTAAATTTAGAATAGTGAGTGTAATGCAGATACTTTGGAAAAGGCATGCACTTCAGAATCAAATTTTTAAAACCAAAATAATCACTGGTTATGATAAGAAGAGAAAGATATAAGAAGAGATGTTTATTAGTCATTCTTTCAGCTCATTTTAGTTTTATCACTTTTTGCACAATTTAAAATTTATGCAAAGTTTTCAATGTTGCCTTTAATTTTTGCCAGAATATTTTGAACCTGGTTTAACACTGAAATTGAAGAAGCCCGGGGAGGGCTTTCATAACAACTTTCTTCAGTCTGTTTATTTAAAACATGATGAATAAGCAAAATGAAAAGGTGCAGAATGGAAAAAGAAAAATGATCCCTTCTCCTTCCTAGAAGTGTTCGAGATTACTGGATTGTTCGTAGTCTCACACCAGGAATTGAAATGTTCCTCACATGCCAGCAGCCAAATATATACATGACACTGTCCCAGTTG